CGAAGTATGACCGCCCCAGCGGCTGTGCCGCCGCAGGTGCCCCCTGGCCCTGCGCGGGCGCCGCCGCCTCCTGCGCCCTCGGCGGCGCCGCCGCCTCCTGCGCCCGCAGTGGCGCAGCTCCTTCATCCGGCGGCGCTGGGTCACGTGGCCCCCGAGCTGCGGGGCGCGGCGGAGAATCCTCTCCTCGCACCGTCCCCGCGGAGTTCCAGTGGCGCCTGCTGCGGCGACCCTGGCGGGGCAGGCTGCGAGCCTGGCTTCGTCCACCGCGTCGTGGGTCTGCGCGGCGAAATGGAACGCGTTGCCAATTAGCTCCACGCCCGCCCGCCCGCCCTTCCCGAGGTTCACGACGCGCGGGTGACTTTCCTCAAGGACAAACCTGAACTGCTTGCGCGCCAAGCACCGCGTCCTGAGGGTCTGGGTCGTTGCTCGCTCTGAGGCCCCCCGAGCATGGCCGGCGACCCTTCGCGCTACCGACGACCATCGGGATCCTACGGGGCCCCGCGGCACCAAGCCTCTGGCCGCTCACCGCGCTGAGCTTGGGCGCGGCGCCCCCCCCCCCCCCCCCCCGAACTGTCGGATGCTGCGCCCCGAACGCCTGGCCGCAGAGGTGCTCGTCGCTGCCACTGTCTGCGAGGATGAGCCCTCTCCGCTCCTCCCTGCGGCAGCCTCCGACCGAGCTCCTGACTCCAAAGACCCATCCGACCGCGTCGCCGCCGGAGACCGCGGCCACCGCGCTCACGGCCCTCTGGCCCTCAGCGCCTGCATGGGGCCTGCTGGGCTGCGGCCGCCTTCGGGGGCGCCGACGTCGGCGCCCGAGGCTTGCCGGCGGCCTTGTGCCAGCAGTCCTTCTCCTTGTGCTCCTGCCCCTGGCACCAGCTGCAGATTCCCTCGAACTTGGCGGGGCTGCTGCCCTTGAGCTCGTCATTATTGACTCCCTTCTTGCCGCCGTTGCCGCCCTTGTCGCCCTCGCCGCCCATCTCGTCACCCTTGCCGCTTGGGCCAAGGCTGTTGCGGCAGGGCATGGCCCGAGATCGCACCGATCTCCATCGGCGCCACGCCTTGGGCCACCGTGCCGCTAGCTGCGAAGACCTGCCCAGACGCCATCCACCTTCTCCGGTGGGTCCTCAGCGCCACGTGCGAGACCTGGGCGGCCGTCGGAGCATTGCGCAACGCGGTCTTGCACGGCTCGGGGCTATGGACGAGCAGCGTGGCGATGCGAAACACATCGCCGAAGTCCTTCCCCGCCTGCATGACGGACGTACCTCGCCACGTCGTTGTCCCAGTCAAAGAGCTGGTCGGCGAACGGCTTTTGGTCGTCCCACCTGGGGTTGAGCAGACCGCTGAGCATGGCTGCGAAACTGTTGCCCACCCCAGGCTCGCGCTCGTTCTTGATTGTCCGCCAGGCGACGAAACCCTCGTGCCTGCCTGCGAGCGCAGCCATCGCCAGCGCCTTGCGCTGGGTCTTGGTGGCCAGCATGGCATGCAGCAGCTTGCTCGTCGCTTCCGCGCGCTCGCCCATGCTGACATTGTCCACCGCGAGCGCTGGCTGGGCCTCAACAGTGTCGATGCGGTCGCCCCAGTCCATCAGCGCGAAAAACGCGTGAGCTTTGATGGACCAGCTGGGCCAGTCCTTATCTCTGCCACTGAACTCTGGCAGCTTGATGTCGCCTCTGCAATCCACCAAGTGCTCTCGTGGCGCCGCTGCCATGGGCAACGCGCGTCCTCAGTCTTCCCGTGGATCTGATCTGCGTAGTTCACCACAGAACCACGCGCTCCGCCACCATGGCGGAAGTTACGCGGACGCGTGGGGAAAGCGTATATTGGGGCCTTTTTTCTCCCAACGCAGCTCGAACGAAAGGGCCTTCGGGCATGTTGCGAATTCATGGCGCCCGAATCGCACAAGATCCCGAGCAAATTCGGCGCACCCCTCCAGCGGATCGCGTCACACACGAGCCTCAGACCCACCGCTCCGACAAGGGCGCCCGCATGGCGGCACCGCGCCCACTTCGGCGAACCCGCGCATCCCCACACGCTTCGCGCCCTTTGGGGAACTCCACCTGATTACGGCCTCAATGAAGGCGCCCGCATGGCGGCACCGCGTCAAACTCGGCGCACCCCTCACCCATTTCGTGGCCCATAGGGAGTTCCACCCGTGGGCGAGGGGGCCCACGCGGCGACAGCGCCTCCCCCCACCAATTCCCCTCCCGCCAATTTCTGCACACCTCTCACACGGCTCGTTCCTTCGGGGAGCTCCACCTACGGCCTCAATGGTTTATCCGTCAGCCCCGCGGCGCTTGTGCGTGCGCTTGCGCGCTTGATCGACAATCCTCTGGCTGCACTGCCACGCGACCCGCAATGATAACAAGGCCACGCACTGCGCTTCACACAACTGTATGGGGTTGGGCACCTCGCTCAGGCAATATGTTTGAACGTCAACAAACACGTACCGTTACCGCTGTGATAACCAAGGTGAAAGGGGGACATAAAGAACGTTATTCTCCCCCTTTCTCTGCTGCGGATGCCCGCACTTGCAGTATTGCCAGGCAGTCCTGCCCGAACAGTATTCCTCCCGCGAACGAGGCTCCACATGGCTCCGAAAACTTCTTGACTCTGCCACCCGTGCTGCAGCAGTGGCAACCACGGCACGAGACATCGGCACACACGTAAACTGTCGGAGGTCCTCGGTCCGCGCGGATTTCTTGGATCGGCGCTGACTCCCCTCCTCGGCGTGCGGAGCGCGCCAAGGGATGCGCCGCTGGGTCCAACGCAGACCCAAAAACTCCGAGCGATCCTTCGAAAGCTCCTGCTCCTGCGCATTCACATGCTTCGAACAGCAAGGGGGGGGAGGGAGGGAGGGGAGGCAAGGAAGGCGGAGGTGGCCCTCCCCCTGGCCACCGACACCGAATCGGCCCCGCCAGGTGCGGGCCGCGCGGGGCGCTCGAAGGCCGCAGCTACCTCCGCGCTGCCGGCACCGTGGGCGCTGCCTGGCGCCGGCCAACGGTCGTCGTGGCCGCCGCCGGCAATTCGTCGTCGTGGCCGCCACCGTCGGCCGGCAATTTGTCGTCGTGGCCGCCGCCGTCGTTGCTGTTGCTGTGCTAGCAGCACGCATTTGCCGTACACGCGTTGAGTCCAGGAAACAGCCCTCTGGGTCGTGGTCGCGGTCGTCGCTGCCATGGCAGCGGCCGTCGTTGTTGCCGTTGTCAGTCAGCGCCGGCGTCGCCGTCTTGTGACCACCATCGTCGTCCTTGTGCCTGCGGTCTGGGTCGTGGCCCCTCCTGGAACGGGCGTCGCCTGGCCAACTGGCCCCGATTGCCGTGCCCTGCTGCTGTCCACGGCCGCCGCCCGGAAACGCTCAAAGGGGGAGGGAGAGGGAGGGGGCGGGGGAGTGCAGGGACGTGGCGGGGAGAGGTGGAGGGGAGGAGGTTGAGGAGTCGAAAGGGAACGGAGAGGTCCACGGAAGCCTATGGGGGGCCTCGTGGTTTGGGGCCGCTGACGGATGGTACGAACCTGGAACACACTCTTGCGGATGTCTGGCGTCTCGGGGCCGTCTTGGCACCATCTCCGACTGGCCTCGGGCGATTCTTGGACACTTCTGGAGACGCCTTCGGGCGGCCTCAGGCCGCATGTGTGCCGTCGTGATCTGCGCCGTCGTGGGAACCCTCGGAGGGGTGGCCTCTGGTGCCCCTCGGAAGGCTGTCGGCTCCCCGTCCTCAGCGAAGCACAGAATGCAGTAGGTCGCCGATCGTGATCTCCTCTTCCCCCTGCTCGCCCTCCTTCCCTTCTTCTGACGATCATTGCTACCATTAGGTCGGGCATGTCTCCCTACAGGCAGATTTAATGAGACAATTAAAAAGAGCCACACATACTCAAACGTGGTCAACATTTGTTTTTATTTTGTTTAAGTCGCCAGGCTATTTTTTGACTATTTTTGCACACCCTCCTGTCGAGGGACATGCCCGACTTCATGCTACCACTGATATTATCTTTCTGATGTCCTCTGGCCTCTCCTCCCCGCTTCCCTCCTTTCCTATTATCCCTTTCCCTCTCGTTTCCGACCTTCGGCTTGTCCTCCGCCTCCACTGCGTCTGCGTGCTCTTGTTGGCTTCCCTGGGGCGCTGTCAGATGCAAAGCAATCGCCGCGTCCAACTGGTATTGCCTGCCCCCCTCCTGGAGAACTCCTTGGATCCTCCATGTATTCTGCACGACCTTTCATTTTTCAAGAGCTTCTGGGAGGCTTTCGGAACCGCCCGCGTGGGGCGCGCCTTGCCACAACACAGTGGCGTGTCGCTGGCTCCCGTGCTAATCGTTGCGCGAACACGACTCGCGGATATGACTGCGCAAACTTCCCCGCTCGCATCTGCGTTTTGGCATGCAAGAGGCAGGTCGGGCCTGTCCGCCCGCAGGGGGATTTGGAGGACAAATTGAAAATAATCAAGAAGCAAATAACACATTGTCAACAAATACTAGAAAAATCGTCCCCAGGCCATTTCTGGATTATTTTTGGATCTCCCCCCGTAAAGGGACAGGCCCGACGTAAATGCAAGAAACAGGTCCTGAAGGGAAACGGGCCCTGGATCCTGGGGCTGCTCCCCTGGACCGGTGCTTCATCCAGGGCAATTTTTGTCACAGGCCCGGGTCCAGGGAGGGTCCCGAGAACCCGGAGTGGCGAAAAAACTGATGACCCGCTTCCGTCAGGACCCAGTTCCGTCATGGCGAACAATAGAAGAAAAACAAAAACGCCACAAACATAAGCTTTTGACGCTCCGCGCGGACTTCTTGGATTCGCGCTGGACCCCCCCTCCCTGGCGCGCGAAGCGCGCAAGGGGCGGCGCCGGAGGCGCCGCCAGGGGGGCCAGCGCGGATCCAAGAAATCCGCGCGGAGCGACAAACAATTCTGTTTATGTCGTCTTTCTTATTCGAAACAAGCTTCCCCACTGACATCTATGTTTACGCTGCGCCTGCAAGGGGAGCCTGAGCGTCGATGAACGCACACGCCTAAGTTACAACTCGCTACGGCGTGGCGCGTCCTTCAGGGCATCACCAAGGAAAATACATATCAGCAGGACGAAGAAACAGATCCTGAAACAATCACCGCATGGAAAACTGTGGTGAGCTTGAGCACCTCTTGCCGGGGACCCTACCTGATCCTTCGGAGCATGCGACTGCACGAACACGGTGCCCGGCCCTTTGAAAAAACAGTTGAGGCCTTCCCCGCTGGTGGCCGAATGCCACATGCTCCGGGCGGCGAACCCTATTCGGTATTCCGTCTGCTCGGTCCATGCCACGACGTGGTCGTTGTCCACGATCCGCTCCTCGCTTGGTCCCAGGTCGTAGCGCAGGATGGCGCCGCAGGTGGAGAAAGCCACCTTCCCAGGCCCGGCAGCGCGCAGACAGAAGAAGCCAGTCCCAGAGAACGAGCCCTTCAGCAGAGCCAACGTCTTCGTTGTCACGCCCACTGTCGAGGAGGCCGCCAAGAACGCGCCGCGGCGGATGAGCAGGGCCTCCCCCGCGCGCGACGGGGGATGAGGCGGGAGGGAGGGGGGGGGGAGGCGGGGGGGGGAGGGGGAGAGGGGAAGAGGAGGAGGGGAGAGGAGGAGGAGGAGGAGGTGGATGAGGAGGAGGAGGAGCATGAGGAATAGGAATGATGAGGAGAGGAGGAGGAGGAGGAGGAGGAGGAGGAGGAGGAGGAGAGGAGGAGAAGGAGGGAGGGAGGGAGGGAGGGAGGGAGGAGGGAGGGAGAGGACAAGGAGGGAGGAGGAAATAGGGGAGAAGCAGCAGGGAGGAAAGGGAGGAGCAAGAGAAGGCACTGTCTCAGAGGAGGGATCAGTCCAGCAGGATCATGGAGGAGGGAGGACGAGACGAGGTGTCCTGACTTCTGGGATGCTGCAGGAGAGGGAGGGTGTGTGTATATATATATAGAGAGAGAGAGGGAGAGAGAGAGAGAGAGAGAGAGAGAGAGAAAGAGCGAGAGAGAAAGAGGGAGAGACAGAGAGAGAGAGAGGGAGAGAGAGTGAGAGAGGAGGACAACCAGGTGCGCTAGCGCAACATCTGACATCTTATCTTTCTTCTCGGGCCTAGGTCACATGTTGGACGGCCGGCTGCCGATTTCAAGCTTAAGTTTCCTCACAGCCTCGACTGCTTCATCTAGGGCAATCGATCCCGCCGTGAAGGAAGAGATCGGATCGCTGATAAAAGTTCCTGCTATGACTACCGGGGTCGTCACTGCAAAGGCCCCCTTGCACACGACCGCCTCGATGCACCAAGCAGCTGCTGAGCGCGTCCTGGCACGCGTGCCGCCATCTTTGTGCACTAGGAAGTTCGCATTCGCAAGGTTTTCGGTGGAAATTCGACCAGATTGAAACCAGGACCTCTGGCTTTCCATGGTGTAGTTGACCAGGTAATCGGCTCGAACGTTCCACGCCCGTTGCTGCCAGCAGACCACATCGTCGATGTCACGCGCCGGGCGCCAATTGGACTGAAACATGCTGAACATGTTGCGGGTGATGCGCTCGAACATGGGAGCCAGACTTGGGTCCGAAAGCACGGTCTCCCCGTTGATCACGCCGGCCAGAGGCTTACAGTCTGTGATAAACACGATGCGTGTTCTCGGCTCTTCCCACTGGATCTCAGGAGCACCTTCGCCATGGCAGTCCGGCAACTGGTTCAAAGGATGGGTGGCGATCCTTCTCCATGCCGTTCACGGGCGCCACAACATCTGCACTGTACTTGAACAGCCCCCACAAATCGCATAGGTGCGATTCGAAGTGTGGGAAACATGTCATCCACTCTGCCTCCGTGGTGCATTGGTCTCGTTTGCTCCGCCAGTCAACGCCGAAAACGGTCACAAACGTATCTTCCCACTCGACGCGATGGCCGTAGCCGTCGTGCACCAAGCCTAATTTTCGTCGTTTGTGCTCGCTGCCAAGCGCCTGCAATGATATCCACCACTGCCGAGTGCGGAAATTGCGACTGAAGCATAAATAATTTGACCCATTCGGTGAGCACGAACGCGTCTCTCGCCAAGCACCCTTAAATACGTTCATCAAGATGCGACTGTGCAGTGGCCGGATGGCCGGATCCGTAGTGATTGAAACTGACGCTCCAAAAACCTAGCGCTGCGGATCATAAACTGTCCGTGGCCTTCTCCTGGTTTGCGCCGTAATCGGAACATGCGCCGTAACAGATTGAATTCCCATCTCTTTACTTTCAAGAGCGTGTGTTGTGAAAGATGCCACGATGAAGATCCATAGGCTGCACTTGCTGCCGGCCCTCTCGCCCACGCCTTCAGCTTTGAAGCGATACTCCCGGGCCCTTTCAGAACTCGGCAGTTACACCAAAAGTTCTTCTCAGCAGCGCCCAACCTATGATCGACGCTGGTAGTAGTGTCGCCGTCGGAACTCAACATAACTCCCAAAACTAACATGTTCTGCACGAGCTTGAACTTGTAAGTCTTGTCTGCCGCCACCGACAAACGTTCGACGCCCTCCCTCGCGATAGGACCGCACAACATGCATTCCAGTGAAGATGCCTTCCATTTGAAGCCCAAGTCAACGATGGCGGTCGTGACATCCTGGACCATACAAGTAAACTCAGCGACCGATGATGCCATCAAGAAAATGTTATCGGCCCACATCCAATCCTCCCATCCATTGCTTTTGTTCGATCCGCCGACGCGTGTCACAGCGGGCCTGGAACTGCAAAGTGGACCCAATGGCATTCTGCACAATGGGAAAAAAAGAACTGCGTACGATGAGCAGGAGGATGGGCAGGAGGGAGAGGAGAAGGATGAGGAAGGAGGAAGAGGACGAACAGCAGCAGCAGCAGCAGGAGTCAGAGTGGAAGGAGCGGGAGGACCAGGGGAAGGCGGAGGTGGGAAATGAAGGGGCCACAGCGAATGAACAGGACTTGGATCCAGAAAAGTAGCCCGTGCTGTGGCGAGAGCGCCGTTCTGAACGACGGGAGCAACGCGCTGATCCGAAAACGAGGCCCACACTGCAGCGGGAGCACCATTTTGAAACACCGAAAACAATCGGTGTGCAACGCATCTCCATAAGAAAACCAACTCTGCACGCCCTCAGTTGTGTGGACAAGAAACCATATGCGTAGAGGGCCGACCATCCTACGGACAGGGTCAGGGGAGAGAGCAGAGGGGCAATCATAGTGTGTAATTGTCGGACGGGGAGCGGAGGGGGAGGCCTCCCCCGCAGGCTCGTAGACGCCGATGTAGCCCGCGTACTTCGGCGCGAAGACGGCGCTGCCGGCCTCTGGGCCGCAGTGGCACTCCTGCAGGAAGAGCGTCTCCCCGGTGAGGGGCCCGCGGCGCGCACGAAGGGGGGAGGGGGGGGCGCAGGCGACACGCCGTGAAGGGAACGGGTCCCGAGGGTTATGCTGCCCCCACCGTACGTAAGGACCACATCCCAGAAATAATTTCCAGATAAAGTATCGAAACAATGCCGAGCGAGTATCGCCTCCCACGGCCCGGCACGCGACCCCCCCCCACTTTCGGTACTTTCGTGGAGCTCGAAATTCTTTCTGGTGGTCGAGGCTAAAGTACGATGGAACATCATAACCCGAGGGAAGCGGGCCCTGCGTCCACAGAGCTCCTTCCCAGGGGCGGCTTTCCGCCCCGAGGTCGCCTCCTGGCGGCTCCGGGGGCCGGGCGGAGGGCCGTCGCTGGGGCGGATGCTGACGACGGCGAGAAAGTTCCAGGGCCCATCTCCTCGAAGGCCGTCCAGGAGGCGTCCGAGTGGATGGGGTCGGAGGATCGCGCCGCATCGCCGATGCACCAGCGATACGGCAATAGAAGAAGAAAGCACCGCATAAACATAAACTTTTGGCGCTCCGCGCGTATTTCCTGGATCCGCGCTGGGCCCCCCTCCCTGGCGCGCGGAGCGCGCCAGGCGCGGCGCCGGAGGCGCCGCGCCGGGGGGGGCCCAGGCGCGGATCCAAGAATTCCGCGCGGTGCGCCAAAAGTGTATGTTCATGCGGTGATTTCTTCTTCTAGGCAAGATCCAACGACCCCACCTGCTGCGACCTGGGCGGCCTGGACCAATCCTGGGCCCGGGTCCTCTATGCCAAGCGGCGAGGGGGGGCATGTCCTCCTACAGGCGGATTTTGGAGGAAAAATAAAACATACTAGAAAAATGTTAAACTTAGCCCAAAATAGTCAAACACAGAATCTCCCCACTATTTCTATACTATGTTTGAATAATTCCTCCTGTAGAGGGACATGCCGACAGGGGGGGGGGGCAGGGCGGGGCGAGAGCCTCACGAGAGAAGGCAGGCCACGGGCACGGCCCTCGGGCCGCCGGTGATCCTCGGGACGTGCGCTGTTGCCAACGTCCGACGTTGGCGCCAGCGCTCGTCCAGGAGGAAGAACAGTGCACAAAGAAACGATCACGATGCCCGAGTGGTTGATGAACGAGTGTGGCGTTCTCGCCTCTTCGGGCCTCCGAAACTCCAGCGGCGCAGCCCCTCGGGCCCCCAAGGTCGTCCCGCGACGACCCAAGAGGCCCTCGAGAATCGGGGGCTTGCAAACATGGATCAGCGATCCGTGGATTTGGCGCGCGGTGGCCTGATCCATGGATCGGGGGAGGTGCCCTCCCCCAAAATGCGGCCCGTGCCGCCTCGTTCGGCGGCGGAAATGTGCGATTTCCCTTGGAAACGGGACCAGTCGCTAATCCACGCCCCCTTAATCCATGTTTGCGATCGCCTGAAGGAGGGAGAGGATGAGCGAGCCGAGTCGGCTCGCTCCTCCTCCCCCGACCTCTCCAAAATCGACCTCTGCATCTGTCCCGTAGCGAAGAAATGCAGGGTGAGCTCTGGGCTTCCTCGCCGGGAGCTGCTTGGGAGTGGGCGTGAGCGAATGCGCTCTTGGTTTGTGACCCTGGCCGGCCGTACCTGACTCCGCCGACTCGTTGCGCTCACGGCCGCGAAGCCAACAAAAGGTGGGCGCCAACGTGTGCGGCGGAATGAGGGCTGGCACGGTAGGGTTGACACACGTCCTGAGGATCATCGGCACCGTGGCGCGTCCGTGTTCGCCTGGCTCGAAGAAGTGCGCTTCGTACGGGAACCGCCGCACGGGTGATACTCTGTCCTACCAGCAAAAGCACCACGAACCAAACGGGTCCTGAGGGAAACGGGTCGTGGAGACCTTTCCCCGGGATCGGCCGCCCATCCCACGTCGCATTTTGATGTTCTCGGGACTCGTGGAGGGCCCCGAAGACTTAGGTGGGGCATGGTCCCCTACAGGCAGATTTCCGACGAAAAATACAACAAAAATGGTGAACAAATGCTGAGCAAATCGCCCCCAGAGCATTTTCTGACTATTTTTGAATTTTCTTCCTGTAGAGGGACAGGCCCGACTTAACCGAAGACGTCAAAGCACTTCCAGGACCCCCTCTCCTCAAGGACCCGTCTCCCTCGCGCCAGACTCAGGCGGGGGCCCTTCTGGAGGGCATGGGCTCCCCATGAGGCCACGCGCCCTGCGCCTCCAAAGGGCCGCCGGGGCCTCCTTCGATGACCGCCCCCCCTCTTAGACTCAGGTCGGGCGTTGTCTCCTGCAGGCGGATGTTGGACCAAACATTGAAAATACACCAAACATGCTCCCACATAGTCAGAAAATAATCGAAGGATCGCCCCCCGACTATTTTTTGAGTATTCTTGAATAGTCCTCCTGTAGAGAGACATGCCCGACTTAATCTTAGACCGAGACAGGATGACGAGAACATCGCATGAGGACAAAGCGGGGAATCGCTGAGAGCTGTATCGGGCGCCGCGGCCATATCTGAGCGCTCCACGGACGCCCTGAGAGCGCTCCTGGAACGCTCTGGAGCCATTTATCTTCATCCCATGCCTGCCTGGTCATCGCCCCGCCCTCTCCTTGCGCGCCGCCAGGAGGGCCTTCCGAAACAGCGAGGCCAGCAGGCCGCCTGTCATCTTGCCCCGGATGGTAACGCTCGGTGTCCTCGTTACACACGCGTCCGACTCGGCGTGCACAAACTCCCCCGGCTCGAGCTGAACCTCGAGAGTCGCGAAACCACCTTGCACCACCTCGAACGCCATTGAGCGTACCAATGCACGATCACTGCAGCCCCGCCTGAGCGGGTTAATCTTCAAGCTTAATATCCTCTTGGGCCTTGGCTACGGTCGATGGCAACAACGGTGCGGGCATTTGATGACGACGGTGGCAGATCCAGCCTGAATTCCTTCACCAAGGGGAACGCGGACGCGCATGAGAAGGAACGAAAGAGGCGAGGAAGAGGGTGATGGGAATGGGAGGGTAGAAAAGGAAGAGAAAGAAGAAGAGGAGGAGAAGGGACGACTACGCACGCCTCTGGAGCTGATGCTAATGTCAAGACGGAGGTGTGACAGGGAGAGGGACAGCGAGCAGGATCGAAGGGAGGGGACGACGATGGGGGCTGGAGGAGGAGTGAGTGGCAGGAGGGTCGAGAGGGAGGAGGCGGGCGGGCAGGAGGACGGAGTTGGGAGGGGGTGGGGAGAGATGGGCAGAGGGGGAGGGATAATGAGGAGCACAGCGATGTGAACATAAACAATCAGAAGTCCGCGCGGATGTCTTGGATCGGCGCTGGACCCGCTTCTCCCTGACGCGCTGGAGGCGTCGCCAAGGAGAGAGCAGAGCGCCGACCCAAGAAATCCGCGCGGACCTCCGAAAGCGTATGCTCATGCATGTTTCCCTTCTCCAAGGGATGCGCGGGGCAGGTTGGCGGACGCTGGCTGCGCATGAGAGCGACCCTTCGCTGGAGTGGCCAGGGTGCGGGCCCAGAGGGGGGTCCCCCGAGCGCTGCCTGACGCGCCCGGACCCGCCCTCCCCCCGTCTCCCTCGCGGCCCCACGGAGCTGCGCGCCAGGCCCACCTCCTGCGCCCGGCCGAGGCATGGGAGCGGGGGGCGGAAGGCAGAGGGGCCCCGAGGGCAGAACGGAGGAGGCCACGGGCCACCCGCCACCCAGCCTCCGGCCGCGGAAGCCCAGGCCCTGGGCCCTCCAAGGTGTGCGGCCACTGGGCGCGCAGGGCCCGTGGGCAGCAGGTGCCCGCGCGCGGGCCCTCGGCACTCCAAAAGCTGACGCCGAGGACGAGGACCAACGCGGTCCCCAGAAGTCTCGACCCACTCCCCAGCACCGGCTTTTTTCATCCTGAGCCGTTTTGTTGGCGGCCCCGAGGTCCAGCGAGGGCCCCCACGGGCCGCAATTGGCGAACACCTCCGCCCTGATTTTTGTCAGTGCGCTGGAACTCTGGAGGGTGGGTGGGGGGGGGGGACGGGTGGAAGCGGCGGGAGATGGTATGGTATGAAGAACTCCGTGAGTACACGCTGCCGGGCGTCCGCGCATACCTTCTGTGGATCGGCGCTGGCGCCCCCCGGGCAGCACCTCCGACGCCGCTCCCTGGCGCGCTTGGGTCCAGCTCCGATCCTACAAGTGCGAGAGTTGAGGCCTGTTGGGCCTGATCTTCGGAACGGGACTGCGGACGACACGACGCGAGAGAGAGAGAGGAGAGATGAAGCCCTGAAACTGGACTGTGACAGTAAGCCCCCGCGCGAACAGACACAATCCAGCGATTTGCCGTCTCCTCCTGGTTACAGCAGGCGACGCGCCCGAGCGGCACTGTCTCCAACTCCCCCAGCGCCTCCTCCTCCTCCTCCTCCGCCTCCTCCTCCCTCGTCTTCCTTCACGAGAAAGTGGAAGGAAGAATAAAAGAACGAAGAAGAAAGGAGAAGGGAAACGGAAGGTTATATAAGGTATTCCCCTTCCCCCGACCAATTCCCCTCAAACTCCAGTAATCCACGAGCGGGGTATTGAAGTCGAGTCGTACGTTTTTCCTGTCATCTGTGATCCGCATTGGCGTGGCATACTTGTTCTGGAAATTCTACCAGTCTACGATATGATACGGTTCGCAGAATGAAGAAGCGCTCAGCAACACAACAGAGAAACGCACTCCAAAACAAGGCAGCAAACACTGGGACGCAGCAGTCGACTAAGCCAGAACTCGCACATCGCTCTCTCCTCCCCGTCTTTCTCCCCCCATCCACTTCCCACCAGTCCTTCTCCTCCTCCTCCCCCTCCCACTCCCCCCTCTTCTTCCCACCACTCCTTCTCCCACTCCCTCTCCTCCTCTCGCTCCCCCTCCTCCTCCTCCTCCTCCTCTCCTCTCCTCCTCCTCCTCCTCTCCTCCTCCTCTCCTCCTCCTCCTCCCTCCTGGCCTCGCCGTCGTCCTCCTCGTTCCCTTTTTCCTCCTCCTCCTCCTCCTCCTCCTCCTCCTCCTCCTCCTCCTCCTCCTCATGGCCCGATTTGCGAAGATGCTGGCGGCGCCCCAGGGCCTCGCCCCAGCGGGCTTTGCGCAGGCCCCCCCCACCAGCCCGCCGGCGCTGGAGCCAGGCGTACGCTCGACACCCTCCCAGGCGCCATACCATCAAACTCTTACCACAGGGAGCGCTGAATGAGAACTGAAGCTCCTTTTTGTGAGGGGGAGCAGGGACACACAAGTAAATACACACAAATCTCAGGATTCCCCATATTCTTCCATAGTTTCTGGGTTTTCGTCTTCCCCCCCACTTGCCATATTTTCCAATGTTTTCTGGGGGGATCAACGATTGAATTGTTTCTGTGTGTTTTCGCCTCCTGATTTTGGCCTGAAGAGCGCCTGGATGAACGAGGAGCGCTGGAGAAACGACCACGGGAGGACCTGAGGAGCAGCGAGCCCCTCTGAACCCAAGGTGGGCAATATTTCAGCGTCTTGACTGCACCAACCTTGGGGGCCCTACTGTCGGGGAGACAGACTCGGGTACGGGGGACTCGGGCTGGCCTGACGCATTGAGCTTGCGTCAGGATTTCGGCGACCCTGTTTTTTGATACGTCGGACGTCTGGGAACCAGCCAGGAAGCCAAAATCAGCCCAGGAGTCCCATAGGCGAAGCTGGCACGCTGCGGCGCCCTGGGCCTGGCACGGTTCTGGAGGTGAAGGCAGGAGGGGGGGCCGACGTCGTTGCTCTGCTCAAATTGCCCTGGGCCGATCGTCCTCATCCCGAGACCCCCCCATTAGAAGAAGAAGAAGAAGAAGAAGAAGAAGAGGAAGAAGAAGAAGAAGAAGAGAAACAACTGAATAGCCATAACTTTTCGTCGCTCCGCAGGTTTTTTGTTGGAACTGCGCGGAGCGCCAAAAGTTTATGTTTATTGATTTTTCCCGTCTTCGACTCATGTCCACCTTGGACTTCGAACGAGCCAATCCAGGGCCTCTGCCAGCGCAGCCACCCCGGCGTCGCCGACGCGGTTGTGCGACAGGTCGAGGGAGAAGAGCACGGTGTGCGCGTGCAGCACCTGCGCCAAGCGCTGCGCCCCCAAGTCGTTCAGGCCCGAGTGCCTGAGAGACGTGCTGGAGCCCACCGCGCACCAGTCCTCAAACACCTCTGGTCGGCACCCGATTGCAATCCCATCCACCACTAGTGAAGCGTGTCGAGCGCAGGCCGTACTTCACCGCCGCGGCTGTGGCGCGCAGGGACACGCTGTCCCAGTTGTCCAGGCCCGAGAGGTCCACAAACTTGGCCGTGCACTTCTCGCGCAGGTGCAACGGGAGCTCGAGTCGCTCTGCATGCTCCAGCAGGCGGTGCGCGAAGACGAACGTGCCTGTTGACTCCGATGCCTTGGCCGCCGCATGCATCGCGCCAGCGACTGCTCAATGTGTTCCTCTGGATGATGCCATTAGCAAGACGCCCGACATGAGGTCGCCGACATGGCGCTGCTCAGTATGCGCCATGTGAACAGGTGCCGCCGCTTGAGACAGAATGATCCAAATTATGCTTGAGCGTAGCGACCACTCTGTGGCTGTCACTGTGTGTGGAATAACTCGCGCATTCTGGCGCCGCCAAGAACACGGCTCAATGAGTGCGATTACCGTCGTTCTGCGGGGCACAAGGAGGAGGAGGAGGAGGAGGAGGAGGAGGAGGAGGAGGAGGAGGAGGAGGAGGAAGGGAAGGAGAAGAGGAGGATGAGAAGAAGGAGGGGGGGGGGGAGGAGGAGGAGGAGGAGGAGGAGGAGGAGGAGGACGAGGAGGAGGAGGAGAAGGAGGAGGAGGAGGAGGCGGATGAGGCAAGAGCATCTCCGAACATCCTGAAGGCACGGATGTCCATCGCCTGAAACTTTGGGATGCTCGATCTCTGTTTGAACAGACGTGTGCCCAACAGCGGGGTCAAAACCGCTTGGAAACGCAAGAGCGACCCGCACTCTTAGTGGGCCTTGAAAACGACAAGGTCAATTTTTCACCAGTTCCGTTTTGACGCTTTATGCCAGTTCCGACGCCGTTGCTTTACCGATTCTCTCGCAATTTCTTTACCGGTTCCGGCTCCAACTCTAATCCTGGAGCCGTTTCATTGCCGCTTCCAGTCGCCATTTTCCCCCGTCTCCATTTTCAAGAGATGCTTTTTCGGAAACGGTGGAAAAAACGGCCCTGCCGCTTCCGGGGCCCACTAAGCCCCCACATCGCCACGCTCCACTACCTTGAGACGGCTACAGAGTCGTGCCAGGCGCTGCAATCTGGAGTACAGTCCAGCTTGTAGCGAGGAGGGGTGTTGAAATACCCTCTCTGCTCATGACTCTGTGAGTGTACTGTAGCATCAGCAGTTGCACTGATTGCATATGCATCCATAGCCCTTTCGGCACAAAATACTTGTTCACGTCATGTTACATCGTCATCCACTGTCTGTCCTGGGGCTTCCGCCGGTTTCCGCTTGAGCTCTGATCGGTTCCCAGGGCTCCTCTCTACGCGTCGCCGCCCCGACGGTCGCTCTTCTGAGCCCGCCGGGGGCCCTCGAGACGCTTCGGCGCGCCCCGGCCTCGGTTCGATCCTCGCGGGGCTACCCGCCGAAGAGCTGCTGCCCTGCGCTGCTGACCTCCGATCTCCTGCTGCTCCCGGCGGTATGATTCCTCCTCATGGTGCTTCTTCTTCTCCTCCAACTACTATTCCTCCTCCTCCTCCTTCTCCCCCTTCTGCAACTGCTCTTGCTACTCCTCGCCCTGGCTGCCCTTCGCGACGATCAGGGTGGCGATGATGAGTGAGAAGGGGGCGAGGGGGGGGGATGGCGAGCGAGATTTTCCTCGGCGGCCTCCTGGTCTGGCCTCGGCTCCTGCCGAGCTGCCTGCGCCTCCGCGCGGTGTCTCTGCGCGGGGTCTGCGCGCATCCTCTCGGCCATCCGCTCGGTGCACTGCTTTGCGCGCGCCACCCCAGCCGGCAGGACTATAGCGACGCGCCCGCACGCCGCGCAGACCCGTACGCCTGCACGTCCCTCTTCAGGATGTGCAGTTTCCTCGGCCCTGGAACTCCTCCTCCAGCGCCTCCTGCGCCTCCTGCGCGCTGCGCCACCGACTGCTGCGGCGGCGGCGGCGGCGCCGCCGCTGCGGGGCTACCCGCTGCAGCAGGCCTGGCCGAGGCGGAGCTCCCCGCGCCCGGCGCCATGTCCCAAGGCTTGCCCTTGAGGTCGTCGAAGAAGTCCGCCTTCCAGCGCTCCTCGACCGTCATCTTGTTGAAGGTCTTGGCTCGCACCACTCCGGCTGCCGTCATCGCCATCAAGCTGCCGGTGAGCGCGTGGTGCCCGACGTAGATGCCCTCGACCATCTTGGGCGCAAAGCCGGAGCTCGGCTCTTCCTGCGCCAACCGGGCGTGGATGCGCTCCCCGAACTCAATCAGGGCCTTGTTCCAGCGCCTCCCGGTTCTCCTCTGCTCGGCCGTCCGGCCGTCGGCGCCCACCCTGCACCTCGACAGGCAGGCGGCCGCGTGCCTGGGAAGCCACGTCCAGACGTCATGCGTCCGAGGCAAGCGCTTCTGGAGTCTCTCCTCCAGCGCCTCCTTCAAGGACCTCATCGTCCGCTTGACCTCCCGCGCAGCAGCTTCGGCCTCTCCGTTGGCCTGATGGTCGCCGACAGGACTCTCCTGTGGCACCATTTCCACACGAGGCAACGCGTCGCCTGCAGCCGCCTTCATCGCCACTAGGCTTGCCTCGTTGTCTGACTTGGATACGTGCCGTGCCCATCCAAGCTCTTTGACACACCCAGCAAGTAATCTCACCGCGTAAGGATCAACTCCCTTGCTCGGGATTGCAGTCGCCATGTAACACTTCGTCGGTCTGTCTCTCATGACAAGCATGGGCATTGTGGCGCTCTCGTCCCCATCATCATTCATGTACGCGTAGTCAGAAGAAATGACGGGGTCTGCGCCCTCGGGTTCCTTTTGGGCCCTACGTTGCTCTCCAATGCCTCGTCCTGCTTGGCAATGCCGACACCGCGATCGAAACTGCGTGTGCCCCATCGCGTAGTGGTCCCCTGCCGCGTCGGTGGGCGCGCAGATGCCCTATGGCGCTGCTCCTGCTGCTCGTCCGCCGCCTCGTCGTCTGGCACGCCTGGTGCCCCGACCGCCTCTGCGGCCGGCACCTCGGCAGGCGCGGGGCTGCCCGCTCCTGCCGGCGCTCCTTTCAGCGGACTTGCAAACGAGGGTCCGGCCGCCCAAAACCCGGCTGCGGAGCTGCCCGCGTGCCTGGGTCCTCGAGCCCGGCGACCTCCGTCTGGTAGTTGTACGCGCCTCTCTCCTCGTACACCGGCAGGAGGGTCTCGTGGCCGTGCTTCTGCACCAACCTGCTCAGCTCCTGCTTGAGCTTCCTGCCGACGATGCCGTCGCGAGGGATGACGCAACCCCCGCCTTCCTCCAGCGCGAGCAGCTGCCCTGCCCGAGCCACTTGCGAGGCAGAGGCCAGAACCTTGTGCACGTCTGTGAGCCGACCCGTGAAGTTCCGCACCATCGAGTTCTCATCAGTGCACTGCAGCTTGACGCCTCCGTAGTCGGAGATCCTCTCCCCGCTCGCCGTGACGTAGCCCTTGTGGCTGCCGTCCTCGTGCTTCCCCTCGCGGCCCTCGAACCGCTTCTGCGGGTGCGCCGCAACGGCGGCCCCTGTGTCCAGGTTGAACTTCAGGTAGCCGTCAGCGCAGTGGCTGGCTGGGAACTTCGTGTCCAGAGCCCCCATGTCCAGCGCTCCCTGCTCGCCTTCCGGCTCGCCGTCGCCCTCGTGCTCTGTGTCCAGGGGGCCTGCGTGCTTGCCCTTGCCCTTGCCCTTCGCCTCGGCTGCGGGCTTCGCCTGGCCCTTCGGGCCAGCAGGCTTTTTCGCGCGGCAGTCCTTGGCCTTGTGGCCCCACTTGCCACACCACCAGTTGTTGCAGTACCCTTCGAACGGAGCAGGTCTGGAGCTGTCAGCTTTGCCCACTTGGGCCTTGCCCTTGCCGTCAGTGCCTTTGCCTTTGCCCTTACCTTTGCTTCCCTTGGAGTCGCCCTTGCCCTTCCAAGCAAGAGAGTCGACGTCCATGGGCTTGACCCCGGTATCCGCGTTGGCAGTCGGCATGCGATCTCGCACGCTGATCCTTACCTGCTTTCCCGTTCTGGTTTCGTAGCACTGCGCTACCTCGGCACGCACGTCGGCGTACTTCTTCAGCCTGGACGCGTTGAGCTGCAAGTGTTTCTCCAGCTCCTCGGGCACCTTTGCCTCCAATGCCGAGGCAAGAAAGTCGCCCGCAATCTGTGCCTCGCCAAGTTTCTGCGCCTTCTTGTTGTAGCTGGTCACCATGGCCTCCCACGTCTGCAGCGCCGCCCCGAGCTCCTGGCCAGCTGGTCCTCCGGGATCTCTCCATTCAGCACGGAATCGTGAAAACGCTTCTGCCTCTTATTCTGTTGGAACTTCACCTCCTTCTCGTGGTCGGCGGTCCATCCGTCAACCCCGACGGTCCGCGTGCCCGGGGCGCCCATCAGGTCGACTGGCCGTGTCTGGGAAACAACGCCCTGAACGTCGGCGCGCCTGCCCCGAATCCAGGACGTCTCAGTGTTGACGTCGCGCGCCCTTGCGGGGGCTTCCTTGTGTAAATCCATGCGGACGCGCACTCTTGGCCTGCGAACCGGTCCGTAAATCTTTGCCCAGATCTTGGGCGCCAGCGCCGCCGCTCGATCGATGTGGTCCTTGCTCCACGGCTGCTTGATCACGAGCTCGTCCTGTATGTAGCCCCCCCACTTGTCTGGCCGATTCGCGCCAGCGAGGTTGAGGATCTGCGAGAAGTTCTGCTCAAGGCCGCTAGTGCTCGGGCCGTAGGCGCCGAAGGTCATCAGTACTGGCCTCAACGCCCCCACCGGGTGGAGCTTCGCGGTTCGGGCGTCTTTCTGACACTCGGCAACCGCCATCGCCCACGCGGCGATAGTACCAGTACAAGACGGGTCTATCAGCATCTGCTGCGCTATCGGCCTCACGTCGTTGAGCTGGCTGAACAGTGCGGTCGGGTTCACGCAGACGAATTCGGCCAAGCTGTCGCAACTTGCTCGCAATTGGGACATAGTCTGATTCCCTAGGTCATGCTGCGAACCCTGTGCGGGCGCGCCGAGGGACTGCGATAGCTCGCCGAGATTGAATGCCCTCATCGCGTAGATGATCTCGAACTCTGGAATTTCTGCACGTATGGTCTCGCGGGCCAAGTGGACCCAATTAGCCATCCGTTGCACGCACCTCCTCTTGACGTCGACGGGGACGCCGGCCGCGCATCCCAGCGTCTTCTGACCATCCATTGCGAGGAGGAGCACGGGCTCCTGAAGTTGCTGCACCATGTACTGCGTGTAGCCGAGCTTCCAACAATGTTCATCAACGAAGAGAGCATGGATCCTGCTGAGGAAGGCGCGCAAGTTCATGGAAACAGCAGAGACGTCCATGCG